TGAGCAAAAAAAAAAAAAAAGATTTGGGCCACATTTGCCTGCAGTGTGAACGTAGCCTTAAGAAACTAATAAAAAATAAAAATGAAAACTGAGATTACATATAAAACAAAAGCTGATTTAAATTATTAATACATGTTTATCTCACAGAAGTGAGTACACCCCTCACATTTTTGTAAATATTTTATTATATCTTTTCATGTGACAACTCTGAAGAAATGACACTTTGCTACAATGTAAAGTAGTGAGTGTACAGCTTGTATAAGTGTAAAGTTTAGAAACGTGAAGGAGAAACATGCATTTACTATAGTGCGCTTTTAACGTCTATACTGTCATATGTGCTAAAATATCTAAATGTGTGAAAATAGTGTCCTTCCGAATCATCATTCTGTGCTGTTAATTGTGTTTGTGTCCAGATGTTTTGTATCAAGAGTACCGTGACACCTCTAAGCAGCAGGAGATCGAGCAGCGTCGACAGAGAGATGGGCTTCCGACTGCAGGGTCAGGGGTCACGGCTGTGCCTACATTGCAGCTGCAGCTGAGGAACAGCATGCATTCACTGAGCCTCTGGCAAAACCTGGAGGCTGTGAAAGACAGTGGACTACTGAAGACACTAGAGACAAAGGAGACCATACTGCAGGAGGTGAGACACATGCTTTGAATCGACTAGAGTATAAACTTTTGAACGGTATGTGCTAACAGCAAAAACACTCAGCAATAGCAGTGCATGTTATCTGAACGTGTCTCTGTCTCTTTCTGTAGGCCATGTTTGAACTGGTGACCTCTGAGGCGTCATACTACAAAAGCCTGGAGCTGCTGGAGACCCACTTTCTACGAAACCCTCTGCTTGTCAACACCTTGAGTCAGTCTGACATGCACTTCCTGTTCTCCAACATTGAGGACATCATGAAGGCAAGCGAGAGGTGTGTGTTTGTTGGGCAACCTATGCGGCCAACAGGGCAAATATGTTTATCAACATTTGCCTAGACCACAGTGAATTTTCTCATCATAAAAGTTTGAGTGGCAGCATTAGCATTATTAGTTCCCATAAAGCAAAATATGATGTATTTTATGTTAAAATATACAAAATGCTGTCAAAAATATATCATGAGGAATCAAGAATATACATTCATATATGTTAATATATTTTGGGATTCATTTTAAATCAAAATATGTCCAAATATACATTTTCTATAATATTTTATATAA